GAGTATATCAAATGTTGAATGTAATTGTGTAAAGAAAAAAGATATAGGCCTTCTTTGGAAGTGGGCGGTGTTTTGTCAGTGCAAAACTTGGTGTATATACTTGTAGTGGGGTTGTTTTTGTCAGAAAGTATACTGCCATGGTAGGAGAGTAATGAACGGAGAAAGTGAAAAATCTAGCCTTTGGATCTGATGAAAGCATATAAACAAATAAAAGTTCTTGTGGGGTTTTTAATAATGAACGGAGAAAGTGAAAAAATTAAAATCAGTGGCTCATAAATGAAAATGAGTAATTCAATTCGAGATAGGAGAGTAAAATTATACTCCATACGGAGTACTTTGTCATGGAAAGAGTATAAAACTCATTTTTGGGAGTAGTACACTAAATATAGTTGCAGACATACAAATATTAAAATTTTAAAACTCATTATGTAGTGTAGAATGTACTTTACATTGTATCACAAACTAGCAGCTAGTCTGGGCAAAGGGGATGGTAAAGTAACACCCATATTAGGTTTGGATGCTTAATTAACTAATTGTCTCATGTTTTCATATTACACAACAATAACTTAATGAAGACCATGCATGTGGCTTCCATGTATGTATTGCTTGAAACAAAATGTCACATACACAATTACCAACACAATATCAAATTGTGAAATTTGTGCTAAATGATAGTAAACTATATGTTTTTTTCTCAGTGTAATACTTAAATTTATTTATTCCATAAATAGTACTTGAATAATGTCTAGTGGCAGAAACAATGCCCGGTGATAGTGGACATTTAGTTTGAACAACGTCCAGTGGCGCTGAGCATTTACTTGAACAATACCAGTGGAACGGACATTGAACAGTGTCACTACATTGAGAAATAAAAACATATGGTACCGCATTGGAAAAATTACTATATTTTAGTACTATTTATGCCATTTAATTTCCATCAACTTAACACAACAAGATAATTAATTAGGAAGAACAATATATATCATCATCACCACCTCCAACATATGATGATGATGATGAAGCAACAAAAATTCTTTGGCCAGGGGATAATATGAATTTAGGATCAAAAAGAGATTTTCTCATTTGGAAAAGGTTCCATTTTGATCCAAAATGGTTTGACCAGTCTTCCTGGGAGCTGTAATGGGGAAGATACTGCTTGATTTTGATGCCAGCTCCATTGCAGAAATCCAATATTTCTTGATTTTGCCTGTCTGCATCCTCCCACTCACTCAACCCACTTGAATGCAGCAGCCCCACACAGTAAAATGTCTCCTCCTCTTCTGGGATTACTGCTGACATCCTATTGTCCCATCTTTTTTATATTTTATTCATTCATTAATTACAAGTTAAAAAAAAATATATCAGTCACCGCCCGTATATGAGACACCGGCAGATATCTCATATTTATTCATTATTAATCTATCGATATATTACATTTTATTCTATCCTACTATGACAAGATAATTGAAAAAAATAACATCTGAGTTGCAAAATGGTAGAGCAAATGTTTTTTATCACACCAGCATATTGTGTAGTATAAACCATTGAAATACTAGTACTACGTATATAATTGTAGCGTATACTTTGGAATACGTACAGGGTACCTCTAGTATGATCCATTTTTTTTAAGGAGAGAGTGGGGAGAAGTGCATACTTGGAGGCTCGAGTGGGGTAGACAAGGATGAGACCAGATTTGTTGTTGTTGTTGTTGTGTTTGAGAATGATGTCCAAAAAGACTCCCACATTGAAATCTAAGATTCTGGATTTTGGCACAAAAAGATTTAGCCATGGATGTGGCACATCCCACTCCCCTTTTTCCCTCAGCTTCACCTCACCACCCCTTACCCTATTCAG